TACTATAAAGAGTCCTCTCCTGCTGATGTTCAGGTGTATATCAGTATGTAGTGTCGCTACTTTAAAGAGTCCTCTCCTGCTGATGTTCAGGTGTATATCAGTATGTAGTGTCTCTACTTTAAAGAGTCCTCTCCTGCTGATGTTCAGGTGTATATCAGTATGTAGTGTCTCTACTTTAAAGAGTCCTCTCCTGCTGATGTCCAGGTGTATGTCAGTATGTAGTGTCTCTACTTTAAAGAGTCCTCTCCTGCTGATGTTCAGGTGTATATCGGTATGTAGTGTCTCTACTTTAAAGAGTCCTCTCCTGCTGATGTCCAGGTGTATGTCAGTATGTAGTGTCTCTAAAGAGTCCTCTCCTGCTGATGTTCAGGTGTATATCAGTATGTAGTGTCTCTACTTTAAAGAGTCCTCTCTGCTGATGTTCAGGTGTATATCAGTATGTAGTAGTGTCTCTACTTTAAAGAGTCCTCTCCTGCTGATGTTCAGGTGTATATCAGTATGTAGTGTCTCTCCTTTAAGAGTCCTCTCCTGCTGATGTTCAGGTGTATATCAGTATGTAGTGTCTCTACTTTAAAGAGTCCTCTCCTGCTGATGTTCAGGTGTATATCAGTATGTAGTGTCTCTACTTTAAAGAGTCCTCTCCTGCTGATGTTCAGGTGTATATCAGTATGTAGTGTCTACATTAAAGAGTCCTCTCTGCTGATGTTCAGGTGTATATCAGTATGTAGTGTCTCTACTTTAAAGAGTCCTCTCCTGCTGATGTTCAGGTGTATATCAGTATGTAGTGTCTTCTTTAAAGAGTCCTCTCCTGCTGATGTTCAGGTGTATATCAGTATGTAGTGTGTCTTACTTTTAAAGAGTCCTCTCCTGCTGATGATTCAGGTGTTATATCTGTAGGTAGTGTCTCTACTTTAAAGAAGTTCCTCTCCTGCTGATGTCCCAGGTGCCTATGTCAGTATCTAGTGCTCTCTACTTTAAAGAGTCCTCTCCCTGTGTCAGGTGGATATCAGTGTAGTGCTCTACTTTAAAGAGTCCTCTCCATGCTGATTGTATCCGGTGTATATCAGGCGTAGTGTCTCTACTTAAAGAGTCTCTCTCCTGCTGATGTTCAGGTTGATATTCAAGTATGTCGTTGTCTCTTACTTTAAAGAGTCCTCTCCCTGCTGATGTTCAGGTGATTTATATCAGTATGTAGTGTCATCTACTTTAAAGAGTCCTCTCCTGACTGATGTTTTCAGGTTGTATATCAGTATGTAGTAGTCTCTACTTTAAAGAGTCCTCTCCTGCTGATGTTTCCAGGTGTGATGTCCGTATTGTAGGTCTCTACTTAAAGAGTCCTCTCCTGCTGATGTTCAGGTGTATATCAGTATGTAGTGTCTACTACTTTAAAGAGTCCTCTCCTGCTTGATGTTCAGGTGTATATCAGTATGTAGTGTCTCTACTTTAAAGAGTCCTCTCCTGCTGATGTTCAGGTGTATATCAGTATGTAGTGTCTCTACTTTAAAGAGTCCTCTCCTGCTGATGTCCAGGTGTATGTCAGTATGTAGTGTCTCTACTTTAAAGAGTCCTCTCCTGCTGATGTTCAGGTGTATATCAGTATGTAGTGTCTCTACTTTAAAGAGTCCTCTCCTGCTGATGTTCAGGTGTATATCAGTATGTAGTGTCTCTACTTTAAAGAGTCCTCTCCTGCTGATGTTCAGGTGTATATCAGTATGTAGTGTATCTACTTTAAAGAGTCCTCTTCAAAGTTAGTCAGCTTCAATATAAAGGTGTTTGTGTGGTTGCATACAAGTCAAACAGGCTTACAGTTGTTTTGAGTATTGCAAAAGAGTTTAATATCTTAAAAAAAGTTAATTATAACAAACCGAACAAACCATCCCTGACATATGAAACTTTAAAAACAATGGCACATTCAGAGCAGCTTGTCACAGTATTTCATCGCAGGCTTAACTCCCAGGTATAGTGTTCAATATCTAACCATAAAAAAGTTCCTGAGATATAAAACGTACCCGAGCAGAATCTCTTTGGTCTTTAGTTTAAAGGTCTCCTATCATGCAAAATGTCTTATCTACATCAACATGTGTCCCCGGTGTGTCGGGGAACTCACGCAGCGTCAGGAAATAAAACCCTCTCTCTTTTCCTCCGTACCCAAATCTCTAAAAACGGGGAACAACGGAGCTGATCCAGATTTGCATCCGATATGACGTAATATCTGAAATGTGGACCCACGGCCCAATCAGAAACGTTGCTATCAGAAACAATGCCCGACTGCTTTGGACGTAATATGGTCGGTGTTTACATTAGGTGGCTGTGGTCCTGGATCATAGGTCCTGGATGGATATCCTCGTGGATTCATCTTCTTATTACAGACACATGCATTTCCAAACATTTGGTCTACCTATGTTGTAAATGTATTATCTTTTCAATTTACACACGGCATCTATTGCACGTCTGTCCGTCCTGGAGAGGGATCCTCCTCTGTTGCTCTCCCTGAGGTTTCTCCCATTTTTCCCTTTAAACTGTGGGTTTTCTCTGGAAGTTTTTCCTTGTACGATGTGAGGGTCTAAGGACAGAGGGTCTAAGGACAGAGGGTCTAAGGACAGAGGGTCTGAGGACAGAGGGTCTGAGGGTCTAAGGACAGAGGGTCTAAGGACAGAGGGTCTAGGACAGAGGGTCTAAGGACAGAGGGTCTGAGGGCCTAAGGACAGAGGGTCTAAGGACAGAGGGTCTAAGGACAGAGGGTCTAAGGACAGAGGGTCTAAGGACAGAGGGTCTAAGGACAGAGGGTCTAAGGACAGAGGGTCTAAGGACAGAGGGTCTGAGGGTCTAAGGACAGAGGGTCTAAGGACAGAGGGTCTAAGGACAGAGGGTGTCGTATTGTCATACTGATATTCTGTACAAACTGTGAAGTCCACTGAGACAAATGTAATATTGTGATATTGGGCTATATCAATAAACATTGATTGACATTGATTAGCATCGCTAACACTCAGAGCTAACCTGTACTGGAGAGCATGTGTGTGAAGAAGCAGGAAGTAAAAAGGAACTCACCTTGTGGTATAACCGGCAAGAGAGAAAGCCTTTGAGCTCCAGACTGTTTCAGAGAGAATCCTTGATGTGGTTTGGAACATGATGGCGTTTAATCACGGCTACGGACGTTTAAAGCTTTAGACCCAGAATCAGCACTTTAGTAGCAGGGCTGAAATAGAGGGGTTTGAGGCTAAAATGCACGATCTGTTTGGTGTTTTAAGCAAAACACTTCATAGACATGTTTTTTATATATTTGTATATGCCTACAAATAGTATAATAGGAGACCTTTAAAACATGAGGGAATGTCTCTCTGCAGTTTGAATGAATAAATACATAAATATGATTCTAGTATTTTGGGTAGAGCACCCTGGCGATCTGCTTGTCGGCCCTCTCCAGATCCAGCCACTTCCCACAGAGGAAGATGGTTGTGACGCCATTGGCTGTATTTGTTACCTCCACTCGGTCCAACAACCATCCGGGACTCAAACCGGAATTATCCTGATCCATCCGGACTTTCTGCAGCTCCCCCATGTCCAACATTTCCAGCAGGAAACGGTCCGTCTGCTCTCGTTCGAACAGATTTCTGAATTTCTGTCGTAGCTGTCGACGTCCCGAATCCCCGTTGACGCCGTAGATCGTGATGAACACGTTGGCGTCCGTTCCCGCTCCTTTTTCGTCGCCCGTGATGACGATGATCTCGTATTTTACGGGCACCAAGCTGCGCGCTTTACTGGCGAAACTCTCGATGGTCTTGGTGCACTCGAAGGTCAGGAAGTCGTCTCTCTTTGGAGACAGAGGGATGAGGCCGTTGCAGATAAAGATGTACCTAAGGGGAGGATACAATAAAGTGTTACCAACGATCAATGACTTAACACTCACAGGTATTTTTAGATATAAAACACATAATATGCTTTAATTATATTATGCAGTACTCTAAGACTACACAGCATTTTATAGATGTCTTCATTTCTGGCTCCAGTACATGCATTTTGTTGAATATTCAGAATGTCTTACGGTCATTTTATGTTGTATTCTTTAAAGAGTCCTCTCCTGCTGATGTTCAGGTGTATATCAGTATGTAGTGTCTCTACTTTAAAGAGTTCTCTCCTGCTGATGTTCAGGTGTATATCAGTATGTAGTGTCTCTACTTTAAAGAGTCCTCTCCTGATGATGTTCAGGTGTATATCAGTATGTAGTGTCTCTACTTTAAAGAGTCATCTCCTGCTGATGTTCAGGTGTATATCAGTATGTAGTGTCTCTACTTTAAAGAGTTCTCTCCTGCTGATGTTCAGGTGTATATCAGTATGTAGTGTCTCTACTTTAAAGAGTCCTCTCCTGCTGATGTTCAGGTGTATATCAGTATGTAGAGTCTCTACTTTAAAGAGTCCTCTCCTGCTGATGTTCAGGTGTATATCAGTATTGTCTCTACTTTAAAGAGTCCTCTCCTGCTGATGTTCAGGTTTATATCAGTATGTAGAGTCTCTACTTTAAAGAGTCCTCTCCTGCTGATGTTCAGGTGTATATAAGTATTGTCTCTACTTTAAAGAGTCCTCTCCTGCTGATGTTCAGGTGTACATCAGTATGTAGTGTCTCTACTTTAAAGAGTCCTCTCCTGCTGATGTTCAGGTGTATATAAGTATTGTCTCTACTTTAAAGAGTCCTCTCCTGCTGATGTTCAGGTTTATATCAGTATGTAGAGTCTCTACTTTAAAGAGTCCTCTCCCGCTGATGTTCAGGTGTATATCAGTATGTAGTGTCTCTACTTTAAAGAGTCCTCTCCTGCTGATGTTCAGGTGTATATCAGTATGTAGTGTCTCTACTTTAAAGAGTCCTCTCCTGCTGATGTTCAGGTGTACATCAGTATGTAGTGTCTCTACTTTAAAGAGTCCTCTCCTGCTGATGTTCAGGTGTATATCAGTATGTAGTGTCTCTACTTTAAAGAGTCCTCTCCTGCTAATGTTCAGGTGTATATCAGTATGTAGTGTCTCTACTTTAAAGAGTCCTCTCCTGCTGATGTTCAGGTGTATATCAGTATGTAGTGTCTCTACTTTAAAGAGTCCTCTCCTGATGATGTTCAGGTGTATATCAGTATGTGTCTCTACTTTAAAGAGTCCTCTCCTGCTGATGTTCAGGTGTATATCAGTATGTAGTGTCCTCTACTTTAAAGAGTCCTCTCCTGCTGATGTTCAGGTGTATATCAGTATGTAGTGTCTCTACTTTAAAGAGTCCTCTCCTGATGATGTTCAGGTGTATATCAGTATGTAGTGTCTCTACTTTAAAGAGTCCTCTCCTGCTGATGTTCAGGTGTATATCAGTATGTAGTGTCTCTACTTTAAAGAGTCCTCTCCTGCTGATGTTCAGGTGTATATCAGTATGTAGTGTCTCTACTTTAAAGAGTCCTCTCCTGCTGATGTTCAGGTGTACATCAGTATGTAGTGTCTCTACTTTAAAGAGTCCTCTCCTGCTGATGTTCAGGTGTATATCAGTATGTAGTGTCTCTACTTTTAAGAGTCCTCTCCTGCTGATGTTCAGGTGTATATCAGTATGTAGTGTCTCTACTTTAAAGAGTCCTCTCCTGCTAATGTTCAGGTGTATATCAGTATGTAGTGTCTCTACTTTAAAGAGTCCTCTCCTGCTGATGTTCAGGTGTATATCAGTATGTAGTGTCTCTACTTTAAAGAGTCCTCTCCTGATGATGTTCAGGTGTATATCAGTATGTGTCTCTACTTTAAAGAGTCCTCTCCTGCTGATGTTCAGGTGTATATCAGTATGTAGTGTCTCTACTTTAAAGAGTCCTCTCCTGCTGATGTTCAGGTGTATATCAGTATGTAGTGTCTCTACTTTAAAGAGTCCTCTCCTGATGATGTTCAGGTGTATATCAGTATGTAGTGTCTCTACTTTAAAGAGTCCTCTCCTGCTGATGTTCAGGTGTATATCAGTATGTAGTGTCTCTACTTTAAAGAGTCCTCTCCTGCTGATGTTCAGGTGTATATCAGTATGTAGTGTCTCTACTTTAAAGAGTCCTCTCCTGCTGATGTTCAGGTGTATATCAGTATGTAGTGTCTCTACTTTAAAGGGTCCTCTCCTGCTGATGTTCAGGTGTATATCAGTATGTAGTGTCTCTACTTTAAAGAGTCCTCTCCTGCTGATGTTCAGGTGTATATCAGTATGTAGTGTCACTACTTTAAAGAGTCCTCTCCTGCTGATGTTCAGGTGTACATCAGTGTGTAGTGTCTCTACTTTAAAGAGTCCTCCCCTGCTGATGTTCAGGTGTGTATCAGTATGTAGTGTCTCTTCTTTAAAGAGTCCTCTCCTGCTGATGTTCAGGTGTATATCAGTATGTAGTGTCTCTACTTTAAAGAGTCCTCTCCTGCTGATGTTCAGGTGTATATCAGTATGTAGTGTCTCTACTTTAAAGAGTCCTCTTCTGCTGATGTTCAGGTGTATATCAGTATGTAGTGTCTCTACTTTAAAGAGTCCTCTCCTGCTGATGTTCAGGTGTATATCAGTATGTAGTGTCTCTACTTTAAAGGGTCCTCTCCTGCTGATGTTCAGGTGTATATCAGTATGTAGTGTCTCTACTTTAAAGAGTCCTCTCCTGCTGATGTTCAGGTGTATATCAGTATGTAGTGTCTCTACTTTAAAGAGTCCTCTCCTGCTGATGTTCAGGTGTGTATCAGTATGTAGTGTCTCTTCTTTAAAGAGTCCTCTCCTGCTGATGTTCAGGTGTATATCAGTATGTAGTGTCTCTACTTTAAAGAGTCCTCTCCTGCTGATGTTCAGGTGTATATCAGTATGTAGTGTCTCTACTTTAAAGAGTCCTCTTCTGCTGATGTTTCAGGTGTATATCAGTATGTAGTGTCTCTACTTTAAAGAGTCCTCTCCTGCTGATGTTCAGGTATATATCAGTATGTAGTGTCTCTACTTTAAAGAGTCCTCTCCTGCTGATGTTCAGGTGTTTATCAGTATGTAGTGTCTCTACTTTAAAGAGTCCTCTCCTGCTGATGTTCAGGTGTATATCAGTATGTAGTGTCTCTACTTTAAAGAGTCCTCTCCTGCTGATGTTCAGGTGTTTATCAGTATGTAGTGGCTCTACTTTAAAGGGTCCTCTCCTGCTGATGTTCAGGTGTATATCAGTATGTAGTGTCTCTACTTTAAAGAGTCCTCTCCTGCTGATGTTCAGGTGTATATCAGTATGTAGTGTCTCTACTTTAAAGAGTCCTCTCCTGATGATGTTCAGGTGTATATCAGTATGTGTCTCTACTTTAAAGAGTCCTCTCCTGCTGATGTTCAGGTGTATATCAGTATGTAGTGTCTCTACTTTAAAGAGTCCTCTCCTGCTGATGTTCAGGTGTATATCAGTATGTAGTGTCTCTACTTTAAAGAGTCCTCTCCTGATGATGTTCAGGTGTATATCAGTATGTAGTGTCTCTACTTTAAAGAGTCCTCTCCTGCTGATGTTCAGGTGTATATCAGTATGTAGTGTCTCTACTTTAAAGAGTCCTCTCCTGCTGATGTTCAGGTGTGTATCAGTATGTAGTGTCTCTTCTTTAAAGAGTCCTCTCCTGCTGATGTTCAGGTGTATATCAGTATGTAGTGTCTCTACTTTAAAGAGTCCTCTCCTGCTGATGTTCAGGTGTATATCAGTATGTAGTGTCTCTACTTTAAAGAGTCCTCTCCTGCTGATGTTCAGGTGTATATCAGTATGTAGTGTCTCTACTTTAAAGAGTCCTCTCCTGCTGATGTTCAGGTGTATATCAGTATGTAGTGTCTCTACTTTAAAGGGTCCTCTCCTGCTGATGTTCAGGTGTATATCAGTATGTAGTGTCTCTACTTTAAAGAGTCCTCTCCTGCTGATGTTCAGGTGTATATCAGTATGTAGTGTCTCTACTTTAAAGAGTCCTCTCCTGCTGATGTTCAGGTGTGTATCAGTATGTAGTGTCTCTTCTTTAAAGAGTCCTCTCCTGCTGATGTTCAGGTGTATATCAGTATGTAGTGTCTCTACTTTAAAGAGTTCTCTCCTGCTGATGTTCAGGTGTATATCAGTATGTAGTGTCTCTACTTTAAAGAGTCCTCTCCTGCTGATGTTCAGGTATATATCAGTATGTAGTGTCTCTACTTTAAAGAGTCCTCTCCTGCTGATGTTCAGGTGTATATCAGTATGTAGTGTCTCTTCTTTAAAGAGTCCTCTCCTGCTGATGTTCAGGTGTTTATCAGTATGTAGTGGCTCTACTTTAAAGAGTCCTACTTACCTGCCTCCCATGACTACACTGAGTCTTCACAAAGATTGGAACTTTTTTCAACTCGTCATTTTGTTGAATATCTTAAGGTAATTTTACGTTGTATTCTTTAAGCAGAATTAGCTGTAATTTGTTATGGAGTAATTTAGGACCATAGCATGTATTATTTTACTTAGTAAGTAAATCCTGTAGTTCAATGACTACTTTTATTTTACTGTATCTTTTGTAATTATTCAATCGAAGAAAATAAGACATTATTTATTTAAAAGTAAGTGTTAATTTAATCAATTGTTTTGATTAGGGGTGAGGCTCTGAGGCGAGGACACAGAGAGGGACTAATGTGTTACTAACAAGTGGGATGAATATTCAATTAGTGAATGAAACCTACTATTTGTTTGGCACAGAGCACAAATACCATCAAACAGCACTTATTCAAAAGTAAAAGCGGCGTGTAAAGACGAGCAGGAATGAGTCCTAAACACGGAAATAAGTTAGCATATTAGCACAACCCTCTACCCGAGGAAAAGTGTCTGGAAAAACACACCCAATTATATCATACTTTTTTATACATTACGTTTCCCATACGTATATATATATTGATGGAGCTCTATTGAATCAGAAACATGGGGAAAGTATATATTGTCCCTATCCAACTGTATATGTGATTTATGATTAAATTGTAATGGACATTCAAATACCTTCACTGAACGTGTATCCAGCTTTAAAATTAATATATATTTTTGACATCATTTGTTTTTAAATAAGAGCTGTGGACTAGATTGAATTTATGCCGCGGTAAACGTGGTTCATTTTGAAAAGTAACTGAAACTTAAAGGTCCCCTATTATACTGTTTGTCATCAATATATCACAGGTCTCAGATATATGCATAGCCTGTCTCTGATTGGCTGAAACACCAAACAGATCATTGCAGCATTACCCATAATCCCCTCTGTTTCAGCCCTGTTTCCAAAGTGCTGATTCTCTGTCTGTTACTTTAGATGAAAATAAGGAGCCCCTCCCCACGCCCCTCTGAGAGACATTTGGTTACAAAGAACTCAATGGTGCTCTCGGAGGAGATTCAGGTGATAAGGGGGGGGGGGGGGGGGGTTACCTTGGTTGCTGATTGGCTAATGGTTACACAAGACAAAACATCGTTATGACATCATAAAGTGGCCAAAAATCTGATCAGCTCATTTTTCAGACAGGTTTTTATAGAAATGGATCAAAAAGAGAGAGAATCTTTGTTCCTGAAACTTTCAGAGTCTCTTTCCACAGAGGGGACAACATGTTGATGTATAAGAGACATGAAAGAAGAGGGGACACATGTAATGTAGAAGAGACATGGAGAAGAGGGACACATGTTGATGTAGAAGAGACATGAAGAAGAGGGGACACATGTTGATGTAGAAGAGACATGAAGAAGAGGGGACACATGTTGATGTAGAAGAGACATGAAGAAGAGGGGACACATGTTGATGTAGAAGAGACATGAAGAAGAGGGACACATGTTGATGTAGAAGAGACATGGAGAAGAGGGGACACATGTTGATGTAGAAGAGACATGAAGAAGAGGGGACACATGTTGATGTAGAAAGAGACATGAAGAAGAGGGGACACATGTTGATGTAGAAGAGACATGAAGAAGAGGGGACACATGTTGATGTAGAAGAGACATGAAGAAGAGGGGGACACATGTTGATGTAGAAGAGACATGAAGAAGAAGGGGGACACATGTTGATGTAAGAACAGACATGAAGAAGAGGGGACACATGTTGATGTAGAAGAGACATGAAGAGAGGGGACACATGTTGATGTAGAACAGACATGAAGAAGAGGGACACATGTTGATGTAGAACAGACATGAAGAAGAGGGGACACATGTTTGATGTAGAACAGACATGAAGAAGAGGGGACACATGTTGATGTAGAAGAGACATGAAGAAGAGGGGACACATTGTGATGTAGAAGAGACAGGAAGAAGAGGGGACACATGTGATGTAGAAGAGACATGAAGAAGAGGGGACACATGTTGATGTAGAAGAGACATGAAGAAGAGGGGACACATGTTGATGTAGAAGAGACATGAAGAAGAGGGGACACATGTTGATGTAGAAGAGACATGAAGAAGAGGGGACACAGTGTTGATGTAGAAGAGACATGAAGAAGAGGGGACACATGTTGATGTAGAAGAGACATGAAGAAGAGGGGACACATGTTGATGTAAGAAGAGACATGAAGAAGAAGAGGGTACACATGTTGATGTAGAAGAGAGAAGAGACATGAAGAAGAGGGGACACATGTTGATGTAGAAGAGACATGAAGAAGAGGGGACACATGTTGATGTAGAAGAGACATGAAGAAGAGGGGACACATGTTGATGTAGAAGAGACATGAAGAAGAGGGGACACATGTTGATGTAGAAGAGACATGAAGAAGAGGGGACACATGTTGATGTAGAAGAGACATGAAGAAGAGGGGACACATGTTGATGTAGAAGAGACATGAAGAAGAGGGGACACATGTTGATGTAGAAGAGGGGACACATGTTGATGGAGAAGAGACATGAAGAAGAGGGGACACATGTTGATGTAGAAGAGGGGACACATGTTGATGGAGAAGAGACATGAAGAAGAGGGGACACATGTTGATGGAGAAGAGACATGAAGAAGAGGGGACACATGTTGATGTAGAAGAGACATGGAGAAGAGGGGACACATGTTGATGTAGAAGAGACATGAAGAAGAGGGGACACATGTTGATGTAGAAGAGACATGGAGAAGAGGGGACACATGTTGATGTAGAAGAGACATGAAGAAGAGGGGACACATGTTGATTGTAGAAGAGACATGAAGAAGAGGGGACACATGTTGATGTGGAAGAGACATGAAGAAGAGGGGACACATGTTGATGTAGAAGAGACATGAAGAAGAGGGGACACATGTTGATGTAGAAGAGACATGAAGAAGAGGGGACACATGTTGATGTAGAAGAGACATGAAGAAGAGGGGACACATGTTGATGTAGAAGAGACATGAAGAAGAGGGGACACATGTTGATGTAGAAGAGACATGAAGAAGAGGGGACACATGTTGATGTAGAAGAGACATGAAGAAGAGGGGGACACATGTTGATGTAGAAGAGACATGAAGAAGAGGGGACACATGTTGATGTAGAAGAGACATGAAGAAGAGGGGACACATGTTGATGTAGAAAGAGACATGAAGAAGAGGGGACACATGTTGATGTAGAAGAGACATGAAGAAGAGGGGACACATGTTGATGTAGAAGAGACATGAAGAAGAGGGGACACATGTTGATGTAGAAGAGACATGAAGAAGAGGGGACACATGTTGATGTAGAAGAGACATGAAGAAGATGGGACACATGTTGATGTAAGAAGAGACATGAAGAAGAGGGGACACATGTTGATGTAGAAGAGAAATGAAGAAGAGGGGACACATGTTGATGTAGAAGAGGGACACATTGAAGAAGAGGGGGACCACATGTAGACATGTAAGAAGAGGGGACACATGTTGATGTAGAAGAGGACATGGAGAAGAGGGGACACATGTTGATGTAGAAGAGACATGAAGAAGAGGGGACACATGTTATGATGTAGAAGAGACATGAAGAAGAGGGGACACATGTTGATGTAGAAGAGACATGAAGAAGAGGGGACCACATGTTGATGTAGAAGAGACATGGAGAAGAGGGGACACATGTTGATGTAGAAGAGACATGAAGAAGAGGGGACACATGTTGATGGTAGAAGAGACATTGAAGAAGAGGGGACACATGTTGATGTAGAAGAGACATGAAGAAGAGGGGACACATGTTGATGTAGAAGAGACATGGAGAAGAGGGGACACATGTTGATGTAGAAGAGACATGAAGAAGAGGGGACACATGTTGATGTAGAAGAGACATGAAGAAGAGGGGACACATGTTGATGTAGAAGAGACATGAAGAAGAGGGGACACATGTTGATGTAGAAGAGACATGAAGAAGAGGGGACACATGTTGATGTAGAAGAGACATGAAGAAGAGGGGACACATGTTGATGTAGAAGAGACATGAAGAAGAGGGGACACATGTTGATGTAGAAGAGACATGAAGAAGAGGGGACACATGTTGATGGAGAAGAGACATGGAGAAGAGGGGACACATGTTGATGTAGAAGAGACATGAAGAAGAGGGGACACATGTTGATGTAGAAGAGACATGAAGAAGAGGGACACATGTTGATGTAGAAGAGACATGAAGAAGAGGGGACACATGTTGATGTAGAAGAGACATGGAGAAGAGGGGACACATGTTGATGTAGAAGAGACATGAAGAAGAGGGGACACATGTTGATGTAGAAGAGACATGAAGAAGAGAGGACACATGTTGATGTAGAAGAGACATGAAGAAGAGGGGACACATGTTGATGTAGAAGAGACATGAAGAAGAGGGGACACATGATGATGTAGAAGAGACATGAAGAAGAGGGGACACATGTTGATGTAGAAGAGACATGAAGAAGAGGGGACACATGTTGATATAGAAGAGACATGAAGAAGAGGGGACACATGTTGATGTAGAAGAGACATGAAGAAGAGGATTTTGCATAATAGGTGACCTTTAAAATAAAGTGTTAAATATGAGAATGGGATTATGTAGAATGAGTGTTCGTGTGGATCTGTGAGCATTATGGGATGTCTCACTTGTTTCCCAGTTCCCTCTCAGTGACCACGACCTCCTCCACCTGCCAGAAAACTTCCCCTTTTACTTTCTTCCCATCTTTGGGTGTGTGACCCAGGCAGATCCCAGCGATGTCCCCCAGGTTCTTGGATGAAAAGTCAAACCGATCAACATTTCCCCTGAAAAAAAGAAGTAAAAAGGATAAAGCATGTCTTGGTTCTGCGGGGATCATCATATAAAGTGTAAAGGCAGTCAGAGATGGCAAAAGTACTCACATCCTTCACTCAAGTAGAAGTACAGATACTCGTGTTTAAAAATACTCTGGTGAAAGGAGAAGTACTGACTAAACTTCTTTACTCAAGTGAAAGTAAAGAGGCTTTGAAATGTACTTCAGTAAAAAGTACCCATAACTAGCAGCTGTTTTAAAGAGTACCTGACCTCCCTTTATATTAATAGAACAATAATGTCATTGTTAGCTAATGAATGTTTCCATGCTGAACAACGGCAACATGACAACGTTTCCATTGGTCCCTCTTCTTAAAGCCTCTTTCACACTGTCCCGAAATTGACACCAGATGGACACACGATAAAGGAAATGTTCAAATTCGGCTCTGATCGTAACAACATCGGGCCATTCGTGAGGGCATCCAGGGTTTCCCACACAGACTATACTTGGGCGGGCCGCCCAGGTATATTAACGGCCGCCCAGGTATATTAACGGCCACCCAGGTATATTAACGGCCACCCAGGTATATTAACGGCCACCCAGGTATATTTCGCGACCCATTTAGTTTTATTTTTTTATTTTTCGTCCGCGACCACGACGCCATCTGCGATCGATTTACTTGTGGACAATGATCCCTCGCTCTACGCCTCCTGTACCCAGTCTCGGACTGGCCATCGGGAGGACCGGGGGGTTTCCCGATGGCCAGTCCTGTTTAGTGGTCCTGAGGCATTTTTGATGTATTGTGAATGCAACGCTGCACAAAATGTGGGTCTGCCTCACACAGGGGGACTGGCTGTCTACATGATGTGGTCTGCCTCACACAGGGGGACTGGCTGTCTACATGATGTGGCCTGCCTCACACAGGGGGACTGGCTGTCTACATGATGTGGCCTGCCTCACACAGGGGGACTGGCTGTCTACATGATGTGGCCTGCCTCACACAGGGGGACTGGCTGTCTACATGATGTGGTCTGCCTCACACAGGGGGACTGGCTGTCTACATGATGTGGTCTGCCTCACACAGGGTGACTGGCTGTCTACATGATGTGGCCTGCCTCACACAGGGTGACTGGCTGTCTACATGACGTGGTCTGCCTCACACAGGGTGACTGGCTGTCTACATGACGTGGTCTGCCTCACACAGGGAGACTGGCTGTCTACATGATGTGGTCTGCCTCACACAGGGTGACTGGCTGTCCACATGATGTGGTCTGCCTCACACAGGGGGACTGGCTGTCTACATGATGTGGTCTGCCTCACACAGGGGGACTGGCTGTCCACATGATGTGGTCTGCCTCACACAGGGAGACTGGCTGTCTACATGATGTGGTCTGTCATCAGATCCTCCTTCGCACTCTCCAAAAACTTGGAGTTTCAGGCTCTGCACTTTCCCTCCTCACCTCATACCTGAAAGACCGTACCTACAGGGTGACTTGGAGAGGGTCTGAGTCCGACCCTTGTCAATTAACTACAGGGGTCCCTCAGGGCTCTGTTCTTGGTCCCCTCCTCTTCTCCGTGTACACAAACTCGCTCGGATCAGTCATTAGCCCGCATGGTTTTTCTTACCACTGCTACGCTGACGACACCCAATTAATTCTGTCCTTTCCCCGCTCAGAGACCCAGGTCGTCGCACGCATCTCTGCTTGTCTAGCTGACATCTCTCAGTGGATGTCTGCTCATCACCTCAAGCTCAACCTTGACAAGACTGAGCTGCTCTTCCTCCCGGGAAAAGATTGTCCCACTCTTGACCTAACAATCAACATCGGCACCTCAGTTGTTTCCCCGACTCAGACTGCAAGGAATCTGGGTGTGACCCTAGATAACAACCTGTCCTTCACTGCAAACATCGCTGCTACAACCCGTTGCTGCAGATACACGCTTTACAACATCAGGAACATCAGGTCCCCAGCTCCTTCGCTCCCTTCACTGGCTTCCGGTAACTGCTAGAATCCACTTCAAGACACTGGTACTTGCTTACCGTGCTGCGAATGGATCTGGCCCTTCCTACATCCAGGACATGGTTAAACCGTACACCCCAGCGCGTGCACTACGCTCTGCATCAGCCAAACGACTCGTTGCACCCTCGCTGCGAGGGGGACCCAAGTTCCCATCGGCGAAAACACGTGGGTTTGCTATCCTGGCTCCAAGATGGTGGAATGAGCTCCCCATTGACATCAGGACAGCAGAAAGCTTACACACCTTCCGGCGCAAACTGAAAACTCATCTCTTTCGACTCCACTTCGAGCGATAGAACTATTAACAGAGCACTTATATACTAATAAAGGACTGGCTTACCTAAAGCCAGTTGAGTAGCACTTGAAATGTTTGGCTCTATGAAACCTGATGTACTTATATGATTCTGTTTTCTTCAAGGTTGTGTCTTCCTGGTCGAATGTACGTAGGATGTACGAATGTAAGTCGCTTTGGATAAAAGCGTCAGCTAAATGCAATGTAATGTAATGTAATGTAATGTCTGCCGACATGGCCACTGTCATACAGATCATAAATCAAAGCCCTCGATTGGTCTCTGTGTGTCATTCAAGCTCGGGATAACCCCAGCTCAGGTGAGGTAAAGGACTCTCTGAGGGTTTAGATAGTTAACTTAGTCTAAGTTATCTCAGTGGGTCTCAAATGGTTTGGTCACCATTTATGTAAACACATATTTCCATTTATGGGGATAGTGATTAGTCAAATATGCATGAACTAGGTGAAAAAAAGCTAAGATACACTTTTAAAACTTGTTGAGAGCTAAAACTAGTCTTTGCTGCTGCCTCAAAGAGGAGCAGGGGGAGAGGAGGGAGACAGGAGAGGCTGATTCAGGAGCACAGACACACTCACAACTATAAATGAACCAAAAATAAATTAATAAACAAGTTTCAGTGTTTTTTCATATTGAAATGTTATTGGTAATGGCCTTGATTTTATGATTATTGAAATGTATACAGTTCTGTTTCATAGGTGTTTCCAAAGATCTAGTCTCTTTATCTGCCCTTCAAAGTGCACCAGATTGATGCATTTAACTCCAACATTTAAATAAATCTTACCGGGGGGGCATGCCCCCGGACCCCCCTTGAGGATTTGAGGTCCACCCCCACTTAAAATCACATGGATAAGTTCCTAAATACATTTACAATTGTTTTTAAATAGTAACCCATGTCCATATGTTTATTTGTGGGTAGTAGATTTAAACTATAGGGCTCTCACTACGGGCCCTGCCTGTGCCTGTTCGCTCTGCCATCGCGTGAAGGGTCTGCTAACAAGCGACCAACAGAAAGGTTCATGTTAATGTTGTTGCACGTCACAAAGGCACGTTACTTCAAATCCCCCCGCTACCACCACCCCCCCGAGTATATTTCAGATCTGTGGGAAACACTGGCATCTTAAGCCATCGTATGACCACCGGTAGAGTTTCTCAGGCTCCGGCAGCAACTTCGTGAGCGGTGGCAAAATCTTTGGCATGCCAACAAATTGCCGAAAGACCTCGCTGTAAGAGAATATTTTAATCTGATCTGTTTATAGAGTTTCCTATAGTTTCTTAGATTCTGTGATACTGCAAACATGTGTTTGACTTATCAGTCAAAGACTCCTCTGTAAGTTGAGGTCACAGGTCAAACGCTTCTCCTATATCCGTGGGGGAGGGTTGAGGCTTGTCTGCATCTCTTTGAGACAAGTAGACTATTGTCTCCCATCGGCTATTGATTAGGTAAACGCGGGCTTCTGGGAGCCCGCCTCTCCTCGTGTTGTTAGATGTTTTGTGTCTTTTGGGGCAGAGATCATGATGGTGGAGCACGGGACAGTGTGAAACTAAGTGATCTCCCCGGCCGTATTAATGTACTGTGATCAATAAAACTCTCAGTGCTTTGGCTAACGACGGTTCCAGACTCCTTCATTCTACCTCAACATTGCAACAACAGAAGTTTATCTTCACACTCGCGAAGGTTCATTTTCGTGTTGAATTTGTGTGTCCATGTTGCCCTTCGTAAGGCCATCGTGAGGGCACCTTGTCAAATCGTGGCATCTTCGTCTTTACTTCGTGTGATCATCGGTGCCATCGGGCATTTTTCGCCTCACGAAGACCTGTTTTATTTAGATGCTTTTATTTTGAAGGTGAGTTTACGCTGTTGACAGGAAGTTGTTGTTGCTATGGAAACAACATGACGGAATGTGTGGTTTCGGGTGCCATCGTGTGGCTTTCTGTAGGCATCGTACTTGCTTCGGCTGTTGCTTGGCTGTTGACCAAGTTCGGGGCCATCTTCGTGCGAAATTCACAATTCCATATTCCCAATTTCGGGATAGTGTGACTTTAGGCTTTAGAGAACACCAGGAAATGATGGATACACGGATCGTGTTCAAATCAATAGGCACGCAATGACTCTAAAGAATAATGATCACGCATCAAACACACATTCAGACTAAAGGAACCAGCTGTTTGGAAAATGAGAGAAGTAGAAAGTACAGGTATTTGTGTTCAACATGTAAGAAGTAGAAAGTACAGGTATTTGAGTTCAACATGTAAGAAGTAGAAAGTACAGGTATTTGTGTTCAACATGTAAGGAGTAGAAAGTACAGGTATTTGGGTTCAACATGTAAGAAGTAGAAAGTACAGGTATTTGAGTTCAACATGTAAGAAGTAGAAAGTACAGGTATTTGTGTTCAACATGAGAGAAGTAGAAAGTACAGGTATTTGGGTTCAAAATGTAAGAAGTAGAAAGTACAGGTATTTGTGTTCAACATGTAAGAAGTAGAAAGTACAGGTATTTGTGTTCAACATGTAAGAAGTAGAAAGTACAGGTATTTGGGTTCAACATGTAAGAAGTAGAAAGTACAGGTATTTGAGTTCAACATGTGAGAAGTAGAAAGTACAGGTATTTGTGTTCAACATGAGAGAAGTAGAAAGTACAGGTATTTGTGTTCAACACGTAAGAAGTAGAAAGTACAGGTATTTGAGTTCAACATGAGAGAAGTAGAAAGTACAGGTATTTGTGTTCAACACGTAAGAAGTAGAAAGTACAGGTATTTGAGTTCAACATGTAAGAAGTAGAAAGTACAGGTATTTGAGTTCAACATGTGAGAAGTAGAAAGTACAGGTATTTGTGTTCAACATGAGAGAAGTAGAAAGTACAGGTATTTGTGTTCAACACGTAAGAAGTAGAAAGTACAGGTATTTGAGTTCAACATGAGAGAAGTAGAAAGTACAGGTATTTGTGTTCAACACGTAAGAAGTAGAAAGTACAGGTATTTGAGTTCAACATGTAAGAAGTAGAAAGTACAGGTATTTGTGTTCAACATGAGAGAAGTAGAAAGTACAGGTATTTGTGTTCAACATGTAAGAAGTAGAAAGTTCAGGTATTTGAGTTCAACATGTGAGAAGTAGAAAGTACAGGTATTTGAGTTCAACATGTAAGAAGTAGAAAGTACAGGTATTTGTGTTCAACATGTAAGAAGTAGAAAGTACAGGTATTTGAGTTCAACATATAAGAAGTAGAAAGTACAGGTATTTGAGTTCAACATGTAAGAAGTAGATAGTACAGGTATTTGTGTTCAACATGTAAGAAGTAGAAAGTACAGGTATTTGAGTTCAACATGTGAGAAGTAGAAAGTACAGGTATTTGAGTTCAACATGTGAGAAGTAGAAAGTACAGGTATTTGTGTTCAACATGTAAGAAGTAGAAAGTACAGGTATTTGTGTTCAACATGTAAGAAGTAGAAAGTACAGGTATTTGTGTTCAACATGTAAGAAGTAGAAAGTACAGGTATTTGAGTTCAATATGTAAGAAGTAGAAAGTACAGGTATTTGAGTTCAACATGTAAGAAGTAAAAGTAAAAAGTCGTCAGAAAATAAGTAGTGGAGTAAAGTACTGATACCAGAAAAGTGTACTTAAGTACAGTAATGAAGTATTTGTATTCCACTGCTTCCCCCCTCTGAGGCAGATTTAGAGAGAAAGAGCGTTCCTTTAAGCTCTTGAACCTACCGCAGGAACCGCTTCTTCTTGGAGGAGTTCTCCATTACAAATTCTTTTGATCGGCCCTTCTTCCCCTCGAGAACAATCCAGGCGTTTTCTTTGGTTTCAGTTTCTCCAGTCGTGATGCAGATTTCGTACTCTGTAGAAAGAAGTCATTGGTGTCAGTTGAACACAAACAGAAGAATATACACCATACATAAAGATGCATTAGCTCAGAAATCTACTATATGAGATCGTTTTGAAGTAATAATCCTTTTTTTATATTCAATCAAACCCCACTTTTGAGACCATTTTGACTAGAATCCACCTTTCACACCTACCACACCAACCAGGACTGACATGTTATTGATCACACATTTAAAAAGCGACTATTAACTGTTGGGGAATAATTAACTTCCGGGTCATTTCACTCGGTTACGGCCCGTTCACACTACAGCTTCAAAAAAAGCTTGGAGCTGGGCGTGTCTGAAGCTCGACCAACAGCCAATCACATGAATGTCCCGCCCCTGACACACAAGCAGCGGTTTGATTGGCTAGAGCTTGTACTGGCATATGATTGGATTGGCTGACGCTTCCACCGAAAGCTTCAGAAGCTTCAAAAGTTGAACTTTGCTCAACTTTTGCAGCCTGAAACGCCAGGAAAGCTCCGCTCTGCTTCCCACAATGCAGTTCGGCGAAGTGACGTCACCCCATTCAAAGTGAATGGGCAGACGCGTTGGAAACCGTTTTTGAAGCTGTCGAAGCTGTAGTGTGGACGGGCCGTTAGGAAGGTTCCTAAGCTAAATGGACTATTCGACTGCAGCCTTAGATTCAGGGTCCATATGTGTTCAAGGTTCAAGGTTCTTTATTGTCAAACTAACATAGCTACAGAGTAATTATGTCGTTGAAAATCTTAGGTCACAGGCTTCTCCAACAATACAACACAATAACACAGATAAGCAGACAATATTAAAACAATATTAAAATATACTGAATTAAAAGTAATACAAAAAGAAAAATTGTTTTAAAAAAAGTGGAATACGAGTCTAAATGCAAGTTATTGGAATGATATATTAGATCCAGGGTTTCCCACACATAGACTATACTTGGGCGGGCCGCCCAGGTATATTAACGGCCGCCCAAGTATATTTCGCGACCCATTTAGTTTTTGTTTTTTTTATTCGTCCGTGACCACGACGCCATCTGCGATCGATTAACTTGTGGACAATGATCCCTCGCTCCCTTGCTCTGATCTCGCCTCCTTCTGGCCTGTTAAGTGGCCTGCCTCACACAGGGTGACTGGCTGTCCACATGATGTGGCCTGCCGACATGGCCACTGTCATACAGATCATAAATCAAAGCCCTTGATTGGTCTCTGTGTGTCATTCAAGCTCGGGATAACCTCAGCTCAGGTGAGGTAAAGGACTCTCTGAGGGTTTAGATAGTTAACTTAGTCTAAGTTCTCAGTGGGTCTCAAACGGTGTGGTCACCATTTATGTAAACACATATTTCCATTTGAGAGGGTAGTGATTGGTCTAATGGATAGTGAGGTGGGCTGAAGATCGGAAGGCTGTGAGTTCAAATCCCGCCAGGAACACCACCACTAGTGTGCCCTTGAGTAAGGCACTTAGCCCTTAGTTACTCCAGGGAGAATGTCCCTGTAATCGGTCATTATAAGTCGCTTTGGATAAAAGCGTCAGCTAAATGAAATGTAATGTGATTAGTAAAATATGCATGAATAAATAAATAAAAAGTGAACTAGGTGAAAAAAGGTAAGATACACTTTTAAAACTTGTTGAGAGAAAACTAGTCTTTGCTGCTGCCTCAAAGAGGAGCAGGGGGGAGAGGAGGGAGAAAGGAGAGGAGGGAGAGGGAGGATAGGAGGGAGAGGAGGAGGAGGAGAGGGAGGAGAGGAGGGAGAGGGAGGGAGAGGGAGGAGAGGGAGGAGAGGGAGGAGAGGAGGGAGAGGAGGGAGAGGAGGGAGAGGGAGGAGAGGAGGGAGAGGGAGGATAGGAGGGAGAGGAGGGGGGAGAGGAGGGGGGAGAGGAGGGGGGAGAGGAGGGAGACAGGAGAGGCTGGTTCAGGAGCACAGACACACTCACAACTATAAATGAACCAAAAATAAATAAATAAACAAGTTTCAGTGTTTTTTTCATATTGGAAATGGTATGTTATTGGTTATGGCCATGATGTTATGATTATTGAAATGTATACAGTTCTGTTTAATATAGGTGTTCCCATAAATCTAGTCTCTTTATTTGCCCCTCAAAGTGCACCAGATTGATGCATTTAACTCCAAAATATGATCTTACCGGGGGGGCATGCCCCTGGACCCCCCTAGAGGGGTTCATGTGTGGGTAGTAGATTTAAACTATAGGACTCTCACTACGGGCCCTGCCTGTACCTGTTCGCTCTGCCATCGCGTGAAGGGTCTGCTAACAAGCGACCAACAGAAAGGTTCATGTTAATGTTGTTGCACGTCACCTCATGCTTTCAACGCTTCGCCCATTCACTTGAATGGGGTGACGTAGAAGATTTTGAATCTTCGCCGAACTGCATTGTGGGGATTGTGCTTTGCAAGCATCGTGAGCATCAAAAGTTGAGCAATGTTGAACTTTTGATGCTACCGATGCTTTCGAAGCTGGTATCAGCCAATCAAATCCCGTTTATGCAAATCCCGCCAGTAGAAGCGCTAGCCAATCAAACCGCGTGCACGCTGGGAGAGCCAGACCGCAGTTCATTTCCTCATATTCCAAATGAGAAATTACGGTAGCAAATCACCCGGTTCTTTACGACCAGAACTATTTACCGTGATACAAACCGGAGGAGCCAGGCATGGAGGGAGGTGGATGGCAGAGACAGGGGTGATAACTGGTAGGTTTTCGCCTGTTTGGGGAGTTTATATCCAGTTTACTTCGTTTTAACATTGCTATTGCTTTGTATGTCGGGGGCGGGAGATTCATGTGATTGGTTGTTGGTCGCGTTGCTCGCAAAAAATCGCCAAGCTTCAGACACGTCCAGCATAGGACATGGCAACCATTTTTAACGTACATGGAAAGTTTGAAACTGTGTACTCTTCCCCAACTGATTCATCATGCTTTATTTATTTAATCTGAATTGGAACACAGATTACTAAAGTCAACCATTGCTAACGTTTATCTCGACCTTTTAAGTGGTTTTTGTTGTTGTTATTGTTTTGTGCTGTGATTTCAACCATCTGTATGTCTATCATTTTTAAATGTGTTTGTATTATTAATCTTGTCTTATTCTGCAGACACTGTATGTGTGTGTAAAAAGTGTGCTTACTCGTCTTCTCGTTGAGGTCCAGGAAGTCGTTGTTAGCGCACGCCAGCTCCCTCATTATCTGCCCGTCGTCGTCGTTCTTGGCGAGCCAGCGGTCACACGGGAAACGAAATGTTTTGTCCATGATCTCGTCCTTCACATCGATGAAGTCCAGGTGCCATCCGGGAGAAGGACCTGGAGGAATGGGATCAGGAGAGGACACTTGTTGTGAACAAATCCTGAATGTCCTCTTCCAACATGAGAGTATATGATAACAAAGGTATCCCAACTGTAGCTGTGAACATGACAGGATGTGTGATTACCTAGAAGAGCATCAGGACTGTTTGAGGCAGATGATAGCTATGTGATTAACATGATGATTCAGCCTCTATGGAGAGAGACATCAAGCATGCTCATTTCTGACGTGGAGCTAATCTGAAGTAAACATTGAAGACTGCTTTCTACTCCTCCATCTTGTGACTGTGTAACTCCCTCTCTTGGATATCAGCATGTGAAGGACACTGTTTGAGATGTTGAGTAAAAAGTCAGGATTTTGACATTTTGCAAAAAAAGACAGAATTTTGAGAATTTGAGAGAAAGTAATAATTTGGAGATTTTGAGAGAAAGTCATAATTTTGAGAGAAAGTCAGGATTTTGATAAAAAGTCTGAATTTGGAGATTTTCTGAAAAAAGACAGAATTTTGAGTCATACTTTTTTAGATAAAGTCATAATTTTGCGATTTTGAGAAAAAGTCATAATTTTGAGAGAAAGTCATAATTTTGAGATTTTGAGAAAAAGTCATAATTTTGAGATTTTCTGAAAAAATACAGAATTTTGAGAATTTGAGAAAAATACAGAATTTTGAGATAAAGTCATAATTTTTAGATAAAGTCATACTTTTTTAGAGAAAGTCATAATTTTGAGATTTTGAGAAAAAGTCATAATTTTGAGAAAAAGTCATAATTTTGAGATTTTGAGAAAAAGTCATAATTTTTATAAAAAGTCTGAATTTTTAGATTTTCTGAAAAAATACAGAATTTTGAGAATTTGAGAAAAAAATACAGAATTTTGAGAGAAAGTAATAATTTTGAGATTTTGAGAAAAAGTCATAATTTTGAGATTTTCCGGAAAAAGCCAACATTTGGAGAAAAAAACTCAGTGTTTTGTTCATGACAGGATGTATGATTACAGAGAAGAACCTTCCATTCTTGAGAGGATCATAAATACATGGATCCTGAGATTGAAGCTCAAGCCGGGGACCAGTGAGATTTTTCTAACAACACTCAATAAAGAATGTGAGGATTAAAGAAAGATATGAATTGGGCTGTATGCAGAATATTTAAAACATTTTCAGACATTTTGAATTCATAGAACATCTGCTACTACTGCAATATTTCTTGTATTAAACAGATTTATTCCCAGCATGCATTTGGTGTTTTCTGAGGGTGTTTACCTGAGTTGTCGTGCCACACTCTGACTTTTGACAGTTCTCCCATACTCAGGATCTCAGAGAATCGAAACGTGTCGACCTGCTTTCTCTCAAACTTGTTGGACTTGCTGCATTCCTTCAGAGCCAACGTTCCCGTGTCTCCGTTCTCCCCGAAAATCACGATCCACACGTTGGCATCGGTGCCGGCACCTGAGGAGACGAGAGAAAGGTCACACAGGTGGAAATACAATATCAGACTTTCCCAGAGGTGGGAAGCAGTGGAGTACAAATACTTCGTTACTGTACTTAAGTACTTTTTTCTGGTATCAGTACTTTACTCCACTACTTATTTTTCTGACGACTTTTTATTTTGACTTCTTACATGTTGAACACAAATACCTTACATTACATTACATTTAGCTGACGCTTTTATCCAAAGCGACTTACAATAAGTGCATTCGACCAAGAAGACACAACCTTGAAGAAAACAGAATCATAAAGTACATCAGGTTTCATAGAGCCAAACATTTCAAGTGCTACTCAACTGGCTTTAGGTAAGCCAGTCCTTTATATATAAGTGCTCTGTTAGTAATTCTATCGCTCGAAGTGGAGTCGAAAGAGATGAGTTTTCAGTCTGGAAGGTGTGTAAGCTATCTGCTGTCCTGATGTCAATGGGGAGCTCATTCCACCATCCTGGAGCCAGGACAGCAAACCCACGTGTTTTCGCCGATGGGAACTTGGGTCCCCCTCGCAGTGCGGGTGCAGCGAGTCGTTTGGCTGATGCAGAGCGTAGTGCACGTGCTGGGGTGTACGGTTTAACCATGTCCTGGATGTAGGAAGGGCCAGATCCATTCACAGCATGGTAAGCAAGTACCAGTGTCTTGAAGTGGATTCTAGCAGTTACTGGAAGCCAGTGAAGGGAGCGGAGGAGCGGAGTGGTGTGGGAACATTTAGGAAGGTTGAAGACCAGACGAGCCGCTGCATTCTGGAGGAGCTGCAGAGGTCGGATGGCACATGCAGGTAGACCAGCCAGGAGGGAGTTGCAGTAGTCTAGGCGTGAGATGACGAGAGCCTGGACCAGAACCTGAGTCGCTTTCTGAGTCAGCTGGGGACGTATCTTCCTGATGTTATAAAGCGTGTATCTGCAGCAGCGGGTTGTAGCAGCGATGTTTGCAGTGAAGGACAGGTTGTTATCTAGGATCACACCCAGATTCCTTGCAGTCTGAGTCGGGGAAACAACTGAGGTGCCGATGTTGATTGTTAGGTCAAGAGTGGGACAATCTTTTCCCGGAAGGAAGAGCAGCTCAGTCTTGTCAAGGTTGAGCTTGAGGTGATGAGCAGACATCCACTGAGAGATGTCAGCTAGACAAGCAGAGATGCGTGCGACGACCTGGGTCTCTGAGCGGGGAAAGGACAGAATTAGTTGGGTGTCGTCAGCGTAGCAGTGGTATGAAAAACCATGCGGGCTAATGACTGATCCGAGCGAGTTTGTGTACAAGGAGAAGAGGAGGGGACCAAGAACAGAGCCCTGAGGGACCCCTGTAGTTCATTGTAGTACTTTTGCCATCTCTGGAATTTCCACCTGGGACAAAAACATGTTGGATTAAAAAACAGAACACATGGCTCTTTAAGAGGGAAATTCAAGCACTTTTCCAGGTTATTTTAACCCACATTTCCACACTCTCAAAGCCTTTATCATCACATGTAATTGTTACTTTAAATGCAATTGGAAAAAGGAAGTTTGCAGAATGATTTAACACCCCATATAAAGATATTATTCACCTTGTTTATCCTACTAGTTGTTTATATAACCTTTCTATGTTTTGATTATGTAATGTTAGCTCGCTCTTCTGTACGTCCGTTGGGAAATGTCACAAAACAACAAACTAAAATATCATTGTGGGATGGTTTCATATCAAATATTTAAAGGTTTTTAGTTAACATGAGTAAATGAGTGGATAAAAGACCAGATTTTATTGCATTTTTAAGACGTAAAATGCTTAAAATTACAGCTTATAGCTTACCCTTAAACAATCGTTTAAAATAAATCCTTTTCTGATGTTTTAAGACTGAATACAATGTGCCTAAATGTCACTTTCAAGATCTGAATGTGCACAGTTAGAATTCATTTATTTTAACTATATAATTGTAATGGCTTTTCTGATCGTATGGTTTCATATTATTCTCATTACTGACTTCATGCTCACTGCAAAAAAAAAGCATTTCAAGCGCTCGCACTTTGTTGAAGATCTATTCTACTTAGTAAATGTACATAAAGCGGCACCTTTTAGTCATTTTCTGTGTAAAAATCTATTTTTGCAGTTTTAATGACTTATGTTAGTGTAAGCAAAAATTCAAATTGAATATATATAGAGAATATTCTACCTTTAAATTGGTATTCTCTTTTCATGCACGTCAAATACCTACTTCACACTTTACATGCAGATCTTCTCGTCATGATCCCAAAGGAGACCATTATTTCCCTGTGTGTGTGTGTGTGTGTGTCCTAGCATTACTATCCTTGTGGGGACATACATCTGTTTACACAGTCACATGTGGGGACTCATTACATTACATTACATTTAGCTGACGCTTTTATCCAAAGCGACTTACAATAAGTGCGTTCGACCAACAAAATACAACTTGAAGAAAACAGAATCATAAAGTACATCAGGCTTCATAGAGCTAAAACATTTCAAGTGCTACTCAACTGGCTTTAGATAAGCCAGTCCTTTATTAGTATAAAAGTGCTTCGTTAATAGTTCTATCGCTCGAAGTGGAGTCGAAAGAGATGAGTTTTCAGTTTGCGCCGGAAGATGTGCAAGCTATCTGCTGTCCTGATGTCAATGGGGAGCTCATTCCACCATCTTGGAGCCAGGACAGCAAACCCACGTGTTTTCGCCGATGGGAACTTGGGTCCCCCTCGCAGCGAGGGCGCAACGAGTCGTTTGGCTGATGCAGAGCGGAGTGCACGCGCTGGGGTGTACGGTGTAACCATGTCCTGGATGAAGGAAGGGCCAGATCCATTCGCAGCATGGTAAGCAAGTACCAGTGTCTTGAAGTGGACTCGCCTCCCTTATGGGGACAAATTGGAGGTCTCCATGAGGGGAGTCATTAATTTTAGGGTGAAGACTTGGTTAGGGTTAGGGTAAGGGTTAGGCATGTGTTGGTTATGGTTAGGTTAGGATAAGTCTCCAGGAAATGCATGTAAGTCAATGTAATGTCCCCTGAAGTGATGTATACATGGTATGTGTGTGTGTGTGTGTGTGTGTGTGTGTGTGTGTGTGTGTGTGTGTGTGTGTGTGTGTGTGTGTGTGTGTGTGTGTGCGTGCGCTCATTACTGCTCAGTGGAGGGTGCAGTAGCTTCCAGAAAGAGGCGAAGTGTTTGAAGTCGGCTCAGACTATCGTATTGATCAGCAGCAGACATACTGCCGTGGATGTGAAGAGGATTTTCTTTCATTAACACGTTTGGAGTCGAACATGAATTATTCCGTCTATATTTCCTCCAGGGAAACACAAATCCTCTGCACAAGGACAGGTCAAATGAGGATGAGAAGCGATGTAACAAACGCACGAGGGTTTGAACAGTTTGAGTAACTTTTTAAGGAGCATAAGCTGCAAAAATTCCCACACTCTCAAAGCGTGAAGAGTCTATTTTCTTGTGTATTTCACAGCTCACGGTTTGTAGAGTTCACAGATATGTTACATCATTCTTTATCCTCATGTTACCTGTGCTTGTGCAAAGCAGCAGCCAAAACCTTTTAAACAGCATGAGTATCTTATTAAAGGGGGCCTATCATGCAAAATGCACTTTGTGATGTCTTCTCTCCATCATCATGTGTCCCCGGTGTGTCGGGGAACTCACGCAGCGTCAGGAAATAAAACCCTCTCTCTTTTCCTCCGTACCCAAATCTCTAAAAACAGGGAACAACGGAGCTGATCCAGATTTGCGTCCGATATGACGTAATATCTGAAATGTGGACCCGCGGCCCAATCAGAAACGTTGCTATCAGAAACAATGCCCGACTGCTTTGGACGTAATATGGTCGGTGTTTACATTAGCATCGCTAACACTCAGAGCTAACCTGTACTGGAGAGCATGTGTGTGAAGAAGCAGGAAGTAAAAAGGAACTCACCTTGTGGTATAACCGGCAAGAGAGAAGCCTTTGAGCTCCAAACTGTTTCAGAGAGAATCCTTGATAATCCATGATATGGCGTTTCATCACGGCAGCATTTAGTTTAGACAGTAGCTGCCGGGTCCCGCATGAGCTCAGACCCCTCCTCTTTAAAGCTTTATACCCAAATCAGCACTTTAGAAACAGGAAGTGAAATAGAGGGATATGAGGCATGGCTAGAATGATCTGTTTGGTGTTTGGAGCAAAATACTTCATAGACATGTTTTTATATATCTGTATATATCTGAGACCTATGCTATTGCCTGAAGATAGCATGATAGGTGACCTTTAATAATAAGATAACACTGTATATATTGTGGTGCACTTGTTATACATTGCAGCACATTTTGGATTTAACATCTGATGCTTGTATACATATTATTTTTCTACTTCTCATTCAACAATTTTCTTCTATTTCTTTCTATTTTATCATTTATTGCACATTTTTCTTGAACTTCTTATGTTAATATACATATTATATTCTATGTATTTATCAATTGTTACTATAAATGTAATTGTAAATGAAAACAAAGTGAATCCAATCTTCCCCTAAGCAATGAGTATAGTATATTGTAAGTGTTTATTTTACTAGCTTTTCATATTGATTTTTTAAATTTTGATGAGGATTATTTACGCCATTAAAAAATAGTTGACAATGGGATTTCTTCACGGTTAATTGAGGGTGAAGAGCTACTTAAGACATCCATAAACTCAGCCTTGAGAATAAGATAATGGTTAAAATAATGAGACTATAAACATTCATCAATACAAGGATAAAGCGCTGATTTTACAGTTCATCGTCTTTGCTCTCTAAGCTCCTGCAGGTTTCCCTCCAGTGTCTTATTTGAAAGAAATCAATGGAGAGGTGACGGCGCTCTGACAGGTCAAATCTCCTTATGAAGATAAGGAGCCCCTCCCCACGCCCCTCTGAGAGACATTTGGTTACAAAGAACTCAATGGTGCTCTAAGGGGAGATTCAGGTGATAAGGGGGAGGGGTACCTTGGTTGCTGATTGGCTAATGGTTACACAAGACAAAACATCGTTATGACATCATAAAGTGGCCAAAATCTGATCAGCTCATTTTCAGAGTGGTTTTTATAGACACTGGTACTTGCTTACCATGCTGTGAATGGATCTGGCCCTTCGTATATCCAGGACATGGTTAAACCGTACACCCCAGCGCGTGCACTACGCTCTGCATCAGCCAAACGACTCGCTGCGCCCTCGCTGCGAGGGGGACCCAAGTTCCCAACGGCGAAAACACGTGGGTTTGCTATCCTGGCTCCAGGATGGTGGAATGAGCTCCCCATTGACATAAGGACGGCAGATAGCTTGGACATCTTCCGGCGCAAACTGAAAACTCATCTCTTTCGACTCCACTTCGAGCGATAGAACTATTAACGAAGCACTTTTATACTAATAAAGGACTGGCTTTTCTAAAGCCAGTTGAGTAGCACTTGAAATGTTTTTGCTCTATGAAACCTGATGTACTTTATGATTCTGTTTTCTTCAAGTTGTATTTTGTTGGATGAACGCACTTATTGTAAGTCGCTTTGGATAAAAGCGACATGAAAAGAGACATGAAGAAGAGGGTACACATGTTGATGTAGAAGAGACATGAAGAAGTGGATTTTTTTGCTTAATAGGTGACCTTTAACCGCACATGCATTTTGGAAGCGTCTGGTCTATAGTTGTGTGAGGAGGATTTACATTACATTACATTACATTACAATACATTACATTGCATTTAGCTGACGCTTTTATCCAAAGCGACTTACAATAAGTGCGTTCGACCAACAAAATACAACCTTGAAGAAAACAGAATCATAAAGTACATCAGGTTTCATAGAGCCAAACATTTCAAGTGCTACTCAACTGGCTTTAGATAAGCCAGTCCTTTATTAGTATATAAGTGCTTTGTTAATAGTTCTAACGCTCGAAGTGGAGTCGAAAGAGATGAGTTTTCAGTTTGCGCCGGAAGATGTGCAAGCTATCTGCTGTCCTGATGTCAATGGGGAGCTCATTCCACCATCTTGGAGCCAGGATAGCAAACCCACGTGTTTTCGCCGATGGGAACTTGGGTCCCCCTCGCAGCGAGGGTGCAGCGAGTCGTTTGGTTGATGCAGAGCGTAGTGCACGCGCTGGGGTGTACGGTTTAACCATGTCCTGGATGTACGAAGGGCCAGATCCATTCGCAGCATGGTACGCAAGTACCAGTGTCTTGAAGTGGATTCTAGCAGTTACCGGAAGCCAGTGAAGGGAGCGGAGGAGCGGAGTGGTGTGGGAGAATTTAGGAAGGTTGAAGACCAGACGAGCCGCTGCATTCTGGGTGAGCAGCAGAGGTCGGATGGCACATGCAGGGAGACCAGCCAGGAGGGAGTTGCAGTAGTCTAGGCGTGAGATGACGAGAGCCTGGACCAGAACCTGAGTCGCTTTCTGTGTCAGCTGGGGACGTATCTTCCTGATGTTGTAAAGCGTGTATCTGCAGCAGCGGGTTGTAGCAGCGATGTTTGCAGTGAAGGACAGGTTGTTATCTAGGGTCACACCCAGATTCCTTGCAGTCTGAGTCGGGGAAACAACTGAGGTGCCGATGTTGATTGTTAGGTCAAGAGTGGGACAATCTTTTCCCGGAAGGAAGAGCAGCTCAGTCTTGTCAAGGTTGAGCTTGAGGTGGTGAGCAGACATCCACTGAGAGATGTCAGCTAGACAAGCAGAGATGCGTGCGACGACCTGGGTCTCTGAGCGGGGGAAAGGACAGAATTAATTGGGTGTCGTCAGCGTAGCAGTGGTAAGAAAAACCATGCGGGCTAATGACTGATTCGAGCGAGTTTGTGTACAGGGAGAAGAGGAGGGGACCAAGAACAGAGCCCTGAGGGACCCTGTAGTTAATTGACAAGGGTCGGACTCAGACCCTCTCCAAGTCACCCTGTAGGTACGGTCTTTCAGGTATGAGGTGAGGAGGGAAAGTGCTGAGCCTGAAACTCCAAGTTTTTGGAGAGTGCGAAGGAGGATCTGATGATTCACCGTGTCGAATGCAGCAAGACAGGTCCAACAGGATGATGACAGAGGAGAGGGATGCAGTTTTGGCAGTGTGCAGTTCCTCCGTGACAGCAATGAGAGCAGTTTCTGTGGAGTGACCTGCCTTGAAACCAGACTGGTGCGGATCCAGAAGGTTGTTCTGATTGAGATAACAGGAGATTGTTTAAAAGACAAGCGCGTTCAAGTGATTTAGACAGGAACGGGAGGAGAGAGACAGGCCTGTAGGTTATAACATCAGACGGGTTGAGAGTGGGTTTCTTTAGGAGAGGGTTTACTCATTGCCTCCTTGAGACTGTTTGGAAAGTGACCAGAAGTTAGAGAAGTGTTGATGAAATGGGAGAGAAACGGTAGAATATCAGGAGCGATAGTCTGAAGGAGGTTTGAAGGGATAGGGTCCAGAGGACAGGTGGTAGGGCGGGCAGAGGTAATGAGGGTAAGAACCTCACTTGGAGAGAGAGGGGAGGAGGTCAGTGTGTGTGGGTGAAAGGAGGGTCTGGTGACCCAGCGGTGAGCAAAGGTGAGTCAGAAAAAGAAGAGCGAATATCATCAACCTTTTTTTCAAAGTGGGTAACAAAGTCGCTTGACAGAAGTGAGGAGGGGGGAGGGGCTTTGGGAGGGTCCAAGAGGGAGGAGAAGATGGAAAATAGTTTTTTAGGATTGGAATAGGAAGATTGGATCTTATCTTGAAAGAAAGTGCTTTTTGCCTGAGAGATCGAAGCAGAGAAAGAGGAGAGGAGAGCCTGATAGGTTAGGAGGTCGTCACGGTGTTTGGATTTCCACCGTTTCCGCTCTGCTGCCCTAAGGACGGTTCTATTAGCATGCAGTGCGTCATTTAGCCAGGGAGCAGGAGGGGACTGACGAGCCTGCCGAGATGTGAGAGGACAGAGAGAGTCCAGAGTGGATGAGAGAGTAGAGAGGAGAGTTTCTGCAGCAGAGTTTGGAGGCAGGAGATGGAACGAATCAGAGGAAGGGAGGGCTGAGAGCACCGATGAGGCAAAGGTAGAGGGGGAGAGGGAGCGAAGGTTACGGCGGACAAGTGCAGGATGAGAAGAGATTAGTTTGTTATGTTTGGAAAGGGGTAGAGAGAATGAATGAAGAAGTGATCGGATGTGTGGAGCGGGTTTACAGAGAGGTTAGAAGTAGCGCAGTTCCTTGAGAATATGAGATCAAGGACATTGCCAGCTTTATGAGTCGATGGGGACGGAGACAGTGAGAAAGCAAAGGCAGTTAACAGAGATGTTAGTTCGTCTATCTTCCCCGTCTGGAGGTTGAAGTCTCCGAGAAGTACAGCGGGAGGGCCAGTTTCAGGGATGTGTGAGAGGAGATTATCTAATTCCTCCAAGAAGTCCCCCAAGGCGCCTGGTGGACGGTAGAGAACAACAATGGTTAACTGTATAGGATGGGTTACTGTGACGGCATGGAATTCAAAGGTGGAAGGAGTAAAGTTAGGTAGCTTGAAGAGGGAAAAGCTCCATTTGGGAGAGAGCAAGAGACCAGTGCCACCTCCTCTGCCAGTGGGTCTGGGTGTATGGGAGAAGGAATATGCAGTGGAGAGAGCTGCTGGGGTGGATGTGTTGGATGGAGTAATCCAGGTCTCAGTGAGAGCAAGGAAATCCAGGGACTGCAGGGAGGTGTAGCCAGAGATGAAGTCAGCCTTAGGAACAGCTGACTGGCAGTTCCACAGGCCACCTGAAACTAGATGTTGGATCTCAGTGGAGCACGTGGGATAGACGAGAGCAGGCCGGTTATATCGATTACGAGATACACGGGGCCAGTGATAATTGCGAGAAGACACATGAACAGGAATGGAGAAAATACACATGATTATAGCATGAGGGGCTAAACAACCAAATAAAATAATAAAATAAAACACCTGCAGTGTCGCTGGTTTTGACCTGAACTATATACGTTGTCGGCTCCACCATCATCTCTTCGTCCACCACAGCAGCCATCTCACAGATCATAGTCCTCTTGGGTCCGTGAGTCCTGGAGAGCCAGTCCTCGTATGTGAACACAGAAACCTCCTCTGTGGTCAGGTTACGCATGATCACCTGCAGGAACAGAGGATTCAAAGGTTTTAATGTCATATGCACATAAGCTAAGTTGTAGAAATGGCAATGAAATTCTTCTGACCTCCAACAATGCAACATATATAATAACATTTCCTCACTAGATAAAGGTGTTCCCTCGTCTGTCTGCGTATGTATTTGCACTGTTGGGTCCATTTCACTTCGCGCCAGGGTATGGCTGGGGTAGGCTACAGCCATACCAAGAAATGGCTTAGCCCCACCATGACAAATTATGTTAAAGTCAGCATGTTGAGAACACAGATTGCGAAAATATACGGGTCGTGTCCACAACACACAAACTGATCCTGCTGTAACAACAAGTGCACGTTACTGATGCAATATAGTTGAGACCATTCGGGCTTATGCTAGAAGAGGGGTGCAAGGTATAGTCTAAGTATGTCTCTATAGCAGGGGGGTCAAACTCAAATACAAAGTGGGCCAAAATTAAAAAAATGGGTACTAGTGGAGGGCCGGACTGGTTCAATGTTTATAGCAGAACTTATTGAAATGAACTTATTGCACATATTAAACCTGGAACTAACAAAGCTTCAATGATTGCCTATAAAAACAACATTAAATAATCAGCTGCATTCATTTCTTATGGCTCTATCTGCAGCTTCTCCAGAGTCATTTCTTATGAGTACATTTTCCCACAGGCCAACAACAGCTTCAACAAAACTATTCCCCTCAAAGAGAAAACCAAACATGCCCTGTTGTCCTGAGAGAAAGTGAAGAAGGAAGCATCCATTGAACTCAGTGTGCTGCTCTGTGATGCTAGCTCAGATACTTGGCCTCTCATCTTGGGTGCAAGGTCATCAATGTTTGGGCTCAGGCTCTGAGCGGAGGAGACCCTCAGGATGGAGTGAAGGTGTGCGTGCAATATACCGGCGGCCAGATCTAATAGTGATTCGAAATTATCCTGCGGGCCGAAATTAAATCCACCACGGGCCTGATTTGGCCCCCGGGCCTTGAGTTTGACACATGTGCTCTAAGTAGTGGGGGAGTTTTATACACTATAGGTGTGGAAATTCTCTGGCGTTATAATATCATCGCGGCCGCGGTCAGATGCCTCGGAATGCAATTTGAATAGACCTGCAGCCAATCAGAGCAACGAAACGTTGGGTCTGCGTCACGCCTTACTGATGAGATCAATCGGAACCCGCCATTCAGTATCCCCATTGGATCTTCAACGTGTGCTATCATACGTCACGTTCACAGTGATCTCTTTTTATTTACTACAAGACAAATGTGCCGTTTTATTTCATACAGTTCCATTTTGATTGAGACAGGGAAATAATCTAAACCTCACGAGTGGCGTTTCACTGTCAAGGGGGGCGACATAGCGTGTATGTAATTACATTGCAAATACTGACTTGAGCCTCACCGCTGTATGGGTTAGCCCTACCAGAGATTACCCAACACAAATACCCTGGCGCCGCCACTGCCTGCTTGTGATGCTGAACACACAGAGCTCTGTTCAGGGTCGAATCAAGGAGACGTTCCCAGCTACGGAGGGACAGCGCTCTGACAGCTGGGATGCTCTGCAGGGGAAACTAAGGGGACGTGTGCAGAGGAAATGTGTTCTGTTTCATCAAAGCTCTGCTGCTGAGGCATCAGGGTGAATCTGGAGGTGAGCAGTGATGCTGTCCTCACAGGGTCAGCCAAGGAGACAAAGAGCCTTTTGGGAACAAATGGAGGAAGCTGCAGGAGTGATGTCATGTTGGAAGCTAGCATTGCAGTGTTTCCTGCTACAAGGAAGCTAATAGGTTTTGGCATGGGATATTGGATTATTGCGTAATAGAATAATAATAGAATCCTTTAATGTCGTTATACATGTACAACGAAAGAAAGAAAGGTTCTCCTTTTAAAAGGTGCCATCAAAACAAAAACATCACAACATTCGACAACATGCAGTATACATACTTATGTATTTATAATAATGATATGTATATCATTATTATTGTATAATTATATATATTATATTAAAGGTGGTTTTTAAATAAAAACCACATTTTTTTAAGCGTTAACGTGAGCGCTAAAAGTAAATGAATATTTTGTTTGACTTAACGTTAATACTGCTTTAGTTTGGAGTAAAAACAAGAAGCCTGAACATCTGATCATTCCACTACTGTTTATATTGTAATATATATCTTGTGTCATTTTGAATGAACTCTTTAGGTTTTAAAAAATATTTGTTATTTATTTCTCTTGTTTTATTTGACATTTTACATGTTTTTATTGTATATTCTTACTTAACTTATATACTACTTTTCTTTCAAATGAAGGAACCAGACATTCCTGCAGCTCTCTGTGAATGTAATCGATTCTTAAAACATGTGTCAAATCAACCAGACAATCAATGTATCTACTGGATACATAAAACATACAGTGCTCATTAGTGTGTGTGTGTGTGTGTGTGTGGTGTGTGTGTGTGTGTGTGTGTGCCTGTGTGTGTGTGTGTGTGTGTGGTGTGGTGTGTGTGTGTGTGTGCCTGTGTGTGTGTGTGTGCCTGTGTGTGTGCCTGTGTGTGTGCCTGTGTGTGTGTGTGCCTGTGTGTGTGCCTGTGTGTGTGCGCCTGTGTGTGTGCCTGTGTGTGTGTGTGCCTGTGTGTGTGCCTGTGTGTGTGCCTGTGTGCCTGTGTGCGTGTGCCTTTGTGTGTGCCTGTGTGTGTGCCTGTGTGCCTGTGTGTGCGCCTGTGTGTGTGTGTGTGCGCGCCTGTGTGTGTGTGTGTGCGCCTGTGTGTGTGTGTATGTGTGTGTGCGTGTGTGTGTGTGTATGTGTGTGTGCGTTTGTCTGTGGGTGGATGAATCATTGACCATTCTCCTGCAGGCAGGGATAGATGTGTGTGCCTGTGTGTGTGCGCCTGTGTACGTGTGCCTGTGTACGTGTGCCTGTGTACGTGTGCGCCTGTGTGTGTGCCTGTGTGTGTGTGTGTGTGTGTGTGTGTGCCTGTGGGTGTGCCTGTGTGTGTGCCTGTGTGTGTGTGCCTGTGTGTGTGCGCCTGTGTGTGTGTGTGTGTGTGTGTGTGTGTGTGTGTGTGTGTGTGTGTGTGTGTGTGTGTGTGCGTTTGTCTGTGGGTGGATGAATCATTGACCATTCCTCTGCAGGTAGGGATAGATGTGTGTGTGTGTGTGTGTGTGGTGTGTGTGTGTGTGTGTGTGTGTGTGTGTGTGCTCTGTTTGTGTGTGTGTGTGTGCCTGTGTGTGTGTGCCTGTGCGAGTGTGCCTGTGTGTGTGTGTGCATGCCTGTGTGTGTGTGCCTGTGTGTGTGTGTGTGTGTGTGTGTGTGTGTGCGCCTGTGTGTGTGCCTGTGTGTGCGCCTGTGTGTGTGCCTGTGTGTGTGTGTGTGTGTGTGTGTGTGCGTTTGTCTGTGGGTGGATGAATCATTGACAGGGATAGATGTGTGTGTGTGTGTGTATGTATGTGTGTGTGTGTGTGTGTGTATGTGTATGTGTGTGTGTGTGTGTGTGTGTGTGTGTGTGTGTGTGTGTGTGTGTGTGTGTGTGTGTGTGTGTGTGTGTGTGTGTGTGTGTGTGTGTGGTGTGTGATATAATAGATGAATGACCTACAGCACGCCGTGCCAGTAGAAAAACAAACCTGTGATTGCTCTGTTGTTATTGATCTTTGAAGGCGCTCTCACTGCTCTGCTTTTCATTCTCCTGGTCTCATGTTTTCTCTTCAAACCCAGTTATCCCTCTCACAAGATTAAAGGAGCCCAGTGAGACGTGAACAGCTGATTCTGGAGACTTAAACCTGGTCTCTTGCATCTAACATATGACCATTTGTGTAAGAAGTCTCCTGCCTCTGATTTCGGTCTCATCCTATGCAGTGTCACTTCTTGTGTTTCTTATCTAAGCCGACGTTTTGCTCTCCGGAGTCTTCTGGGTCTTCTTATGGTGGTCTCTCTTAGTACTTGTTTTGCATCTGTGTACTTTCTGTGTCTCTTCTTGGTTCTTTCTTTGGCCTTTGAAGATGTTTGCATCTCTGTGGTAGATTGTATTAAGTGTAGGTCTATGTACTGTATCATCTTATGACTGTTATATAATACCATACTATTTATGTTTAATCATAAACCGATGCTCTAGGCCCCCATACTTGTTGGGCCGCTTCTCTTTCAGTATTCTGACCCATTTTAACAAAAGGCTTCACACGTCTAATTCCAATATGCACCACGACCTCTGCTTTGTTGTGTAAAATCATTGTATTTTCCACTTTGAAGTGAGCTGACCTGATCGAGGAACCAGTCAGGTCGACTTCCTGATCCGTCGATACGAAGCCTCATCTTCCTCAGGGGAGCGATGTCATCAATCTCCATGTTGACCGTGTCCTCCTGACCGCGCTCAAACCTGGAGTCCACCAGAGAAAAGTACACACATCCTTTACTCAAGTAGAAGTACGGATACTCGTGTTTAAAGATACTCTGGTAAATCAAATCAAGTTTTATTTATAAAGCACATTTTAAAAACGATTTTTGGTCGAGACAAAGTGCTGTACATGCGATCGCAAACAGAAGACAATAAATTACAACAGGAAATATAAAACTCAAACACAGGGAAAAGTCAGGAGTCGTGCTCCGCTCTGACTAGAAGGCCAGAGAGAAGACGTGAGTCTTTAGTGAGGATTTAAAAACCCCCAGTTTCTGGGCCGACCTCACATGGAGGGGCAGAGTGTTCCAGAGCCTGGGGCCAGCTGCTAAGAAAGGCTCGGTGCCCTCTGGTTTTAAGCCTGGTCTTAGGCACTATCAACAGCAGCTGATCAGCCGACCTTAAGGCTCTGGCTGGGGTGTAGTGCTGGAGGAGTTTGGCTATATAGGACGGAGCCAGCCCATTTAGGGCTTTGAAAACAAATAAAAGGATTTTAAAATCAATTCTGAACCGAACTGGAAGCCAATGTAGTGAGGCCAGAATTGGGGTGATGTGGTCACGCTTTTTGTGGCCAGTCAGAAGACGTGCAGCTGCGTTCTGAACTAGCTGCAGGCGTCTAATTGAGGCCTGGTCCATACCCACATACAGAGCGTTGCAGTAATCCAGTCTTGAGGTCACAAAGGCGTCAATAACCCTTTCCAGGTCTTTAAAAGATTAAAACGACTTGGTCTTGGCCAATAGTCGTATTTAAAAAAAGCAGGTGCTGACCTGCTTATCAAATTTAAAAGCGCTATTGAAGGTCACTCCAAGGTTCATGACAGAGGGGAGGATGTTTTTATTGAGGGAGCCCAGAATATCAACCGGAGAGGCTGGAGGTTGGGGTCCAAAAAAGATGACCTCGGTCTTGCTCTCATTGAGGTTGATGAGATGTTGGCTCAGCCAGGATTTGATCTCTGTTAAGCAGTCCATCAATAGCTGTAATGAGTTGACATTTGCTTTGAGGGGCAGATAGATCTGTACATCATCAGCGTAACAATGGAAGGGAATATTGTGTTTTGTGAGAATTGAACCTAGGGGCAGTATGTACAGTAGAAAAAGGATGGGGCCCAGGATCGAGCCTTGGGGAACCCCACAGGTAAGAGGGGCTTTAGCAGAGGAGAAGGCACCTAGCTGCACTGAGAAGCTGCGGTCTGTCAGGTAGGACCTGAACCATGCAAGGGCAGAGCCTGTGATGCCTGCGGACTGTAAAAGTAGAAGTACTGACTAAACTTCTTTACTCAAGTGAAAGTAAAGAGGCTTTGAAATGTACTTCAGTAAAAAGTACCCATAACTAGCAGCTGTTTTAAAGAGTACCTGACCTCCCTTTATATTAATAGAACAATAATATCATTGTTAGCTAATGAATGTTTCCATGCTGAACAACGGCAACATGACAACGTTTCCATTGGTCCCTCTTCTTTAGAGTCAGACGCAGGAAATGATGGATACACGGATCGTGTTCAAATCAATAGGCACGCAATGACTCTAAAGAATAATGATCACGCATCAAACACACATTCAGACTAAAAGAACCAGCTGTTTGGAAAATGAGAGAAGTAGAAAGTACAGGTATTTGAGTTCAACATGTAAGAAGTAGAAAGTACAGGTATTTGTGTTCAACATGTGAGAAGTAGAAAGTACAGGTATTTGAGTTCAACATGTGAGAAGTAGAAAGTACAGGTATTTGTGTTCAACATGTGAGAAGTAGAAAGTTCAGGTATTTGAGTTCAACATGTGAGAAGTAGAAAGTACAGGTATTTGGGTTCCACATGTAAGAAGTAGAAAGTACAGGTATTTGAGTTCAACATGTAAGAAGTAGAAAGTACAGGTATTTGAGTTCAACATGAGAGAAGTAGAAAGTACAGGTATTTGAGTTCAACATGTAAGAAGTAGAAAGTACAGGTATTTGAGTTCAACATGAGAGAAGTAGAAAGTACAGGTATTTGAGTTCAACATGTGAGAAGTAGAAAGTACAGGTATTTGAGTTCAACATGTGAGAAGTAGAAAGTTACAGGTATTTGAGTTCAACATGTAAGAAGTAGAAAGTACAGGTATTTGAGTTCAACATGTGGAGAAGTAGAAAGTACAGGTATTTGTGTTCAACATGTAAGAAGTAGAAAGTACGGTATTTGAGTTCAACATGTAAGAAGTAGAAAGTACAGGTATTTGAGTTCAACATGTAAGAAGTAGAAAGTACAGGTATTTGAGTTCAACATGTAAGAAGTAGAAAGTACAGGTATTTGTGTTCAACATGTAAGAAGTAGAAAGTACAGGTATTTGAGTTCAACATGTAAGAAGTAGAAAGTACAGGTATTTGTGTTCAACATGTGAGAAGTAGAAAGTACAGGTATTTGAGTTCAACATGTGAGAAGTAGAAAGTACAGGTATTTGAGTTCAACATGTAAGAAGTAGAAAGTACAGGTATTTGAGTTAAACATGTAAGAAGTAGAAAGTACATGTATTTGAGTTCAACATGTAAGAAGTAGAAAGTACAGGTATTTGTGTTCAACATGTGAGAAGTAGAAAGTACAGGTATTTGAGTTCAACATGTGAGAAGTAGAAAGTACAGGTATTTTAGTTCAACATGTGAGAAGTAGAAAGTACAGGTATTTTAGTTCAACATGTGAGAAGTAGAAAGTACAGGTATTTGAGTTCAACATGTGAGAAGTAGAAAGTACAGGTATTTGTGTTCAACATGTAAGAAGTAGAAAGTACAGGTATTTGAGTTCAACATGTAAGAAGTAGAAAGTACAGGTATTTGAGTTCAACATGTAAGAAGTAGAAAGTACAGGTATTTGAGTTCAACATGTAAGAAGTAGAAAGTACAGGTATTTGTGTTCAACATGTAAGAAGTAGAAAGTTCAGGTATTTGAGTTCAACATGTAAGAAGTAGAAAGTACAGGTATTTGAGTTCAACATGTAAGAAGTAGAAAGTTCAGGTATTTGAGTTCAACATGTAGAAGTAGAAAGTACAGGTATTTGAGTTCAACATGTAAGAAGTAGAAAGTACAGGTATTTGGGTTCAACATGTAAGAAGTAGAAAGTACAGGTATTTGAGTTCAACATGTAAGAAGTAGAAAGTACAGGTATTTGAGTTCAACATGTAAGAGTAGAAAGTACAGGTATTTGAGTTCAACATGTAAGAAGTAGAAAGTACAGGTATTTGAGTTCAACATGTAAGAAGTAGAAAGTACAGGTATTTGAGTTCAACATGTAAGAAGTAGAAAGTACAGGTATTTGTGTTCAACATGTAAGAAGTAGAAAGTACAGGTATTTGAGTTCAACATGTAAGAAGTAGAAAGTACAGGTATTTGTGTTCAACATGTAAGAAGTAGAAAGTACAGGTATTTGGTTCAACATGTAAGAAGTAGAAAGTACAGGTATTTGAGTTCAACATGTAAGAAGTAGAAAGTACAGGTATTTGAGTTCAACATGTAGAAGTAGAAAGTACAGGTATTTGAGTTCAACATGTAGAAGTAGAAAGTACAGGTATTTGAGTTCAACAGTAAGAAGTAGAAAGTACAGGTATTTGAGTTCAACCTGATGTAAGAAGTAGAAAGTACAGGTATTTGAGGTTCAACATGTAAGAAGTAGAAAGTACAGGATTTGTGTTCAACATGTAGAGAAGTAGAAAGTACAGGTATTTGAGTTCAAACATGTGAGAAGTAGAAAGACAGGTATTTGAGTTCAACATGTAATGAAGTAGAAGTACAGGTATTTGTGTTCAACATGTAAGAAGTAGAAAGTACAGGTATTTGAGTTCAACATGTAAGAAGTAGAAAGTACAGGTATTTGTAGTTCAACATGTAAGAAGTAGAAAGTACAGGTAATTTGTGTTCAACATGTAGAGAAGTAGAAAGTACAGGTATTTGTAGTTCAACATGTAAGAAGTAGAAAGTACAGGTATTTGA